TCACACTGTATCCTGAAAGTGAATGCTAATAAACACCCATATAAAAAATGTTCTCTCAGTATAAATTGCCAAGTATTTGTGCAATAATCTTGTTAGAGACTTGGTACGGCTCATTTCTGTCTTCATAATGTCTCCCGGAAAAGTCCATAAGAGAAAGCACAGTATTCACTTCATATGATTACAAAAAGCCTGGGAACTCAATATTTAGTTTTGTTTACAGTTTAACATCCTCCTCTTTAGCTAGAGAGCATAACATTATTGTGTATCCATGATAGACTGGAAATTTTTGATGTCATGTGTAATTTTCTTTTTTGCTTCCCTTTAAAAAAAAATAGAGAAGAGGTAACTGCTTATGTTACCAACTCACAAATGGTTAACGCTGGCGAGACCCGTGGCAGCCATTTACCAGTAATGAAGGAGGAAAGTGACATGAGTAATGAAATAGAAGAAGAAATATCAGAGGAAACTAAGAAAGAAGAAATGAAGTATCTATATAATTTATCAAGAGCAAAACTCGTGTTTAAAAGGAGACCAAGCAGATAACCAGTTGAGGCATCAGAGAACATCCTACATAGAAATCTCTGCATTTAAGTGATTGATTTTGCCCCCAGTTTAATCCTTGAATCTCAGGGATAAGCCAGCTTTCAGGGGAGTTTGTGTCTCCTCTCTGGTGGGCTCCAGAGATGTGCTTTTGGTGTGTCCAGAGCCACTTGGGTGGATTTCAGGGCTGCTGCCCTGGCCGAACTGAAATGCATGCCGGGATGCTGGAGCCATGGTGGCTGCTCCTCTGGGCACTGTGGTGATGGGAGATGTGGGTGCCCCGCCTGCTTCTGGCACCCCCTCTTTGGCCCAGGCCAGACAGCAGCGAGCCATGTCCCTTTTGCTGTCCCCAGGAACCTGCAGGATGTGGCGCAGCTCTTTGCTGGTGCTTGTAGCTGGCACAATGCCACTGTTTGTCTCCCACCCCGGCTCTCCCCAGCTCCACAGCCCCAGTCCTGTCCCGCTTTCGATCTGCAGTTGAATGTCTGAGGACAATCTGGCAGACAGCTTTGATTCCTTGGCTGGTTTCCTGCTCAAGAGCAGGGATGTACTACGGGGATGGTTTTCAGTTCAGTGCCTTGCAGCACCCTGGTGAGGGGAAGCGTGCTTGTCCTTCATCACACATGGGACAAAAGCAAGCAATTTTTAATGCCTTTTCCCCATTCTTTCAAACTCTGCTATGCGTGTGAAGCAGCCCTGTTGCTTGTTTTTCTAAAGCTGTTTGCTGCCTAATTTAGGATACTCTGCTTGAAAGTCTCTAGCCCGAGCTGTAAAACCACAGCTGTGTTTTGCAGATGAGAGACTTGAGTTGGTTTCAGATTGTGCTTTTGGAAAGGCCACTGCCATCCTAAGCAAAGGCAACACAAATGGCATGAGTCCATTCTTCAGCAGTGAAGAGAGAGCTGCAGCCTTCCCTGCGAGCCTGTGTTTTGGAAGGACAGAAGTCCTTCTCTGTTAATTTTGGATTGACAAAGAACAAACAAAAAAATTCTTCTGTGTTTACCCGTTCAATTTCTTCAGTCTGTCTCAATTTCTATCACCAGCAGAGTTAAAAGAAAAATAGACGACACCATCAAAAACTCCTGAAGCCTCCAAAAGGCCAGTTTAGGCCCAGTAAGTGTGGGATACAGCCATCCGCTTCTACCAAAGCTGCTTTCTGGGCTGACAGAACCCAGAGATGGCTCATAAAGGACGTCCACATGGTGTGGCTTCAACAGGGCGCTCCCCTTCCATGCATAAATCAATTTTGGCCACTTTTGAATCCAGGCTGGAGACACCTGGATGTTTCCCCATTCATGTGTCATGGCGGGGAGGATGAAATTGAGAACAAAGTGTGCAACTGTGGAAGAAACAAAACCTAGGGGGCTCGGGGCAAACGTGTGCCAGAGGCTGCCCATAAGTAAGAAACTGCTGCTGCCATGGGATCAGCACAGCACGCTTCCCTCTTGCCCCAAAGCAGACTGTCCAGAAGATTTTGGGGAAGATTTTGGGGAAGGCACTTGGTTCACCCTATGCTTCAGGTCCTTATGTGTAACAGAAGGACCCTCTGTTTCTAAAGCAGGGGGGTTATGAGGAGAAGCGGGAGGGGAGCAGGGGGTGGCGGCCCCTGCTGACCGTCATGAGGGGGCTGAGGAGAAAAGTGAGGTGAAATGGAAACTGAGGGGTGAAAATAGTAGTTTGTGAGCAATTATAGGTGGCTCATTTCTTCTCTTAGGAGTGAGTTTCTATATCTGAGTAATCAGTAATGAGAGACATGGGGAAGGCTGGGTACTCAGCAACTTCTTTGCCTCTGTCTGCACTGGTAGACGGGCTTCCCAGGTCTTTCATTCCCTGAACACGTAGATGGAGGCTGAGGGAGCAAAGTCCCAGCCACTGTAAGTGAAGAGCCACCACCTGATGAATCTCAACAGGTACGAGGACCTGATGGCATGAATCCCAAGGTCCTGAGGGAACTGGCTGATGTAGTCACCAAGCCTTTCTCTGTCATAGCTGGAAAGTCCTGGCAGTGGGGCAATGTCCCTGGTGAATGGAAAATGGAAACATCATGCCCCTACTCTTCAACAATTAAAACAAAGTATAGAACAAAGAGCACTAGTCTTCAACAATTAAAACGAGTAGGAGACATTTCTTCTCAGAAAGAGCAGACAGGCATCGGAATGGGTTGCCCAGGGAAGTGGTCGAGTCACCGTCCCTGGGGGTGTTCAAGGAAAGGTTGGATGTGGTGCCTGGGGACATGGGTTAGTGGGTGACATGGGTGGTAGGAGGACGTTTGGACCAGGTGATCTTGGAGGTCTTTATTTTTCTATGATTCTACGAAGATAAAGTGACTGAAGCATGGATCTGTGAAGGCTGCTCCTCCTGCTTGGGCTCTTCCCAGGGTGAAGCTGCCCTGACAGCAGCATCCCGTGGCTGTACCCGCACCTGGGGATGCACCGCTGCATTCGTGTGAAGCTCTCACTGGAGATGGGTGCAAGTTTCTGTAGACCGAGGCTAAAAAGAAATGAGATATGCAGGGCATCCATGCAGTAACCCACAAAAGTGATGGGAACTAGGGGCCTGGCTGGTAAATCGTTAGCTCAAGCTGCTCAGGACAACAGTAATCTTGTTATAGCCACTCCCAGCTCACACCGGAGCACAACTCTCCACAGGGGATTTGGTGCCTGAGGGGAGTTTGGAAGGACTCCTGCAAAAAGGACAAAGCAATGAGCAGGGACTGGCACAGGGATCTGAGCACCGCTGCTGACCCTGAAGAGCCAGAGGTGCTGGTAGAGCATCTGAAAAATAGGAGGGGGGGTTGAAGTATTGCAACCATCTTTAGGGGGTGACTGTCTTCAGTCCACATCCACACGCAGCCCTCCTGAGTGTGGTAGAGCAGCTGAACTGCTTTGGCCTCTGGTGCCTTCATGCTGGGTGCAGTGAGCATTTGGCTCAGTTTTTCCTCGCTGTAGCACAGGAGAAAGACCCTGACGATGGGGATGAAGGAGCTCTGGACCAGATGGCATCACAGTGGCGTGGACCTCCTCCTCTTCTGTGGGGGTTTTTGGGGCAGGTGAACGCTCCTTGGCCAGGAGAGTTGTAGGTAAAGTCAGCATTGCCTGGAGCTGTGAAAATGATGGTCATTCCCATAGGAATTGGCCCTGGGTCTATTGATTTGAGATTCTCCCGTCTAAGCAAAAGACTCAGGGCTGTTGGAACATGGCTTGAGGCAACAAATGAGAGAGGAGGCCAGCAGAAGCTGCTGGGGCAGGGCAGTGCCCTTTGGACTTCCGCGAAGCGATGGCAGCGGCAGGGCTGCTCTGCACGTGTTTGTTGAGGCGGCAGCGTGCGAGCAGCCCCCTGCACCCCCGCCAGGGGCACGCAGTCAGCCAGAGCTGGGGTGGTCCAAGCCCTTCTGCTGGCCACCCGAGTCAGAGGCTCCCTTAAACAACGCTAATAAATCCTTTATTTACCAAAGCCCTATCAAAATGCCCCTAAAACTGTCCCATCTCACCAGATCCCTTCAGCGTGCAGCTTGAGGATCCCAGAGGAGGCTCCTGCAGGAGCAGTGGCCTTGTGGCCAGCAGGAGCTCATGGTGGCCGAGGCTACAAGAGGGCGATGGCCTCCAGGAAGAAGGCTCTGGAGGACCACATCCATCCATGGGGAGAGACAAGGGTGTGAGCATGGCCATCCACAGGGTGCGCAGAGCTCTCCCACCCCTTTAATTTAAGCAAAAATCTTCCAGATTCAGCTAATGCACGAGCATCCGGACTTGGATAAAAAAAATAGTAGTGTGTGAGCAATTACAGGTGGCTCATTTCTTCTCTTAGGAGTGAGTTTCTATATCTGAGTAATCGGTAATGAGAGACACGGGGAAGGCTGGGTACTCAGTAACTTCTTTGCCTCTGTCTGCACTGGCAGACGGGCTTCCCAAGTCTTTCATTCCCTGAACCCGTAGATGAAGGTCTGCCCCCGTCACCTCCAGGTGCTGCCCCAGCTCCTGGGGCTCCGGGATTCATGGGGCTGGGCATGGGACAGGGATGGGAGCAGGGATGTCTGTGTGAGCAGGGATGTCTGTGTGAGCAGGGATGTCTGTGTGAGCAGGGATGTCTGTGTGAGCAGGGATGAAGCCTCTGCGTTATGGGGATGTCAGTGGGGACTGTGCCAGCCACCTGCACACTCAGCCTCCTGCCCTACCTTCGTATATCCCGAACCCCATCATTTCTTCCCCAGAACACCGCTTTCAGTGTGCTCCCAGTGTGCTCCTCGTTCCCCTAATTAGCAGCGCTAGCCTAATTACCCCGAGGCTGCCTCCTGGGTGAGGGGCGGCCGAGTCGCTCGGTGCCAGGGGCAGCGGCTCGGGCCCGGGCTCGGCCCCTCTGGCCCCCAGCAGGGGGCGCCGCCGCCCCTCGAGTCCCCGCTGCGGGGAGGCGGCCTCGGGCCCCGCGGCCCCGCCTCACCTGCGGTGGGGCCGCCTCTCCCCCCCCCCCCCGGCCTCCCCCGGGGCAGCGCGGCGAGAGCCCGGCGGCCTCACAACGCCCCCCCCCGGTGCCTCGGCCACCCCTCCCCTCCGCACACCGCCACCATGGCGGAGCAGGAGAGCCTGGAGTTCGGCAAGGCCGACTTCGTGCTGCTGGACACCGTCACCATGCCCGAGTTCATGGCCAACCTCCGCCTGCGGTGAGTGCCGGCAGCGCGCCGCCCCCGCGGGTTGTGCTTCGGGGGGCAGGTGAGGGGTCCTGGCCCCCCCCCCGCCCCTCACACCTGGGTTCTTGGCCGGGGGGCGCGGGGCGGGGGGGGCAGTGCCGGCTTGGGGAGCTGAACCGGCCGCGGAGCCGGGGGGGGGGCTGCGGCTCAGGGGGCTCCGAGCCCGGGCGGGAGGCGTTCAGGAGGGGCTGGGGGGCAGCGGCAGCTCCCGGCGGGGGCTTTCTGCTGCTGCACAGCTCGGGGACACCGGAGGGGAGTAAGGGGGAGCCCCGGGGTTGGGGTCTCCGGCTGCTCCCCCCGTGCCCTCTCCCTTTCCCCCCCGTGCCCCCCTCTCACCCGCCCCCCAGCAGGGACCCGGTGCCGCCGGCAGGTGCACGGAGCTGCGAGGAGGCAGGCGGCGATACAAGTCACCAAGTCCAAGGTTGCTCTGCTTCCCCAGGAGCTATAAAACTGCTCGTGGTGCGCTCGTCACGTTAACGTTTCGTGATCTTTACGATGCTTTTATTTCCCTCCCGAGCGCGATGGGCTGCGGGCAGGGCTCTGCTTTATTTCTCGCTTCCTCTCTCTCGGTGTCAAGGTCTGAACAAATCCCGGGCAGCGCTGATAGCGAGGACAGCTCGTGGGGACCCACCGTCTGTGGCTGTCTTTCACTTTCCATTATAAAAGATTCATGCCGGCTTTTCCCGATAAACTCTTCTGCCCCTTCTTGTGCAAGGATTTGGCGTTTGCCAAGAGACGCCTTTGGGACAGAACCGTGACTTGGTGGCTGCCGCCCCCAGGTTTGGCCAAGGTGTCTCTGACCTCGGCGAAAGCACCCTGCCTCGCCTGCCACCTGCGTGCCGCGGGGAGCTGCTGACAGCAGGCCGAATTAACGACGTGGCGGGCTGCTGGAAGCACCTCAGGGCAGCCCTGGCAAGTGCCAAGGAAAGGAAGCTGGTGTAAGCCTCCCCAGCTGCTGGGGAAGGGGAGAACCGGGCTCCTTTGGGCTGTTGTGCCGTGGCCTCTGAAATCTGTCACCTCGCAGGTCTGACAGCGCTGCCACAGAGCACTGCAGCCTGTGCAGAACTGTGCGAGGCTGGGGCTGAGATCCCAGCAGTGCCCCACGTAGTAACAAGTGGCAGCCGATGTGCTTGTTGCTCTCCTTCCTCCTGGGTGTTGGATCTTTATTTGGGTGGGGAAGACACTTATATTTAAACAGTAATGAGAATACGTTATGAACAAGTTGAACTTTGAACATAAGGAGATGTCAGATTGAAATAAATGTTGTGGTGCCTCTAAAAGCTTAAATTTGCCTCTTATTTGTGCATGCCATGATGCACTAATTGCGTTACAGAAGGCTTACACACAAAGTCGTTGTAATTAGCAGGAAACTTGCATGTACCAGTTTGTTCTTGGGGTTTTTATTCTTGGGTTAATGTGTAATAGAAATCTAAGAGTGGTATTGGAAGCAGAAGGACTGCTAGATAAATTAAAAATCAACGTAGGAAGTTAGTTCCATTTAGGAATCAAAATATTTAATTTGATTGATTTGACTACCTGCACAGGTAGTCCTTAATTTTGTATGGAGGAAAATGAGAATGAGCTGGTGATTCTAGATCCTTACATTCGGTACGTAGATTTTCCTGTCCCGTTGCATGCTGATCCTGCCGCAGGATTTTGGCTCGATGTTCCTAAAGTATAGAAATTAAATCTGATATACTGTAATGCATTGTTTTAATGCCAGTACCTTTGTCACTGGTACTCAAAAGCAGGTTCTTCCCTGTGACACCAATTTAAACTCCTGCTGCTTTTGCACGAGAACTTGTGAATTGCTGCAGCACGTGGAATCTGCAACTTGCAGGCACAGTTCTGCCCGCACTTCAAGGTTGTCTTTTATCTGTGCAGTGTAGATTCAATAATCTTTTGTTAAAAATAATGTTCATTTTTCTTACCTTGGTACTGTTGCCTCCTGACTTTAGGTTTGTCTGTGCTGAGACATTTGGAAAAATTAGTCTGAATTTATCAAAAGTGTGGCTTTTTAGTAAACTTTCGAAACTCTGCTGAGCCCTGTTTGACACTGTGGTTAGAGTTCTGGCCCTACCTGCTGACCTGCCTGTGCCCCTGGTTTTATCGTCCTTCTCAGGCAGCATCAGCTTCTTTTGTTTACTGCTCTTGGGGTGGTAATTAGCAGTTGCTGATTATATGTTTTAAATTGTGTCAGACCCAAATTGCAGCCAAGATTCAGACCTGCTCAGGTGTTGATGTCACGTTGCCTTTGTCACGCTGTGTAGATGGCATGAGTTGCCTTTGTGCTTGCAGTGCATGGAATAGAATAGGGAAATTGTTGCTTCTCTGTCATTAACTTCATGACTACACTTGGACGGGCTCCACCCTATTCCATAAATCCAGCTTTTTGCCAGAGCTGCTATTTTTGTCCAGGGTCACCGGCTGACCCAAGAGGGGTTGTGCTGGATTTAGTTCCCAAGTGAGCCCAGATGTGGGTGGAATTGAAATCATACCAGTCTCGGTGCATGCAAGGATTTTTCCCCGAGGACATCTCTAGTAGGCAAAAGAGAAATGGTTAAGTTTTCCTTGTCATTACTGTGTAATATTTGAATTTAGTACTGTTGAAATGAGCTGAATTAGTGTGGCTCTCTGCTTTGCTTGTAGAAGTGAGAGGCACCATCGGTAGGTGGGTGGGCTCAAGGAGGATTTATGCTTTGGTTCCCAACCACTGCGCTTTGTGCCCTGTTATTTATAGAGTCGTCTTGTGATTCAGTGAGGATTTCATATTCTTAGCTATTTTTTCATAGCCATGTCTTGCGAACAGTTACTGAACTGGCAGTTTCGTGTGGGCTTTCAAGCAGTCCTTGGGTGTTACACCATAATTGTAAATAAAAGATGCCAGTCCTTGAATTCCTTAGTTCTGAATGGGCTTCTAACCAGTGCGTAGTTGAGATTATTAGTCATCAAAATAATTAAAAAATAATGCAGGAGTATTGGAATAGCCAGTGTGGACTTAGGGAATAACTTTATCTCTTTCTAGAAAACCTCCAAAGCTTTAACAGATACTCGCAACCAGTTAATGAGCAACTATAAAGTCCTATAAATGGCCGTATCTGAGGAGTTTGCACTTCACTAGATACTCAGCATTATTTATGACTGGTTCTTCGTGGGCAGCTGGGAACAAGTTGGCTGCTGTGGTGTTTGGTACCTCAATTTCTGTCAGAGGAGGTGTGGTTCATTGAAAGACCCCTTGAAACAGGGAATCTGGCAACGTCCAGGGTGGCTCGGGGTGCTCGCAGTGACTGTGACTGGCTCATGGCAGGTGGAGAGGGGCAGTGGTCTCGTGGGAGTTTCCAGCAATTTGCAGAAATTGTGGCATAAACAAAACTTGGGATGCAAACTTTTATCACTTGAAGTTTCCGTTCTAGTGTGATGAGAAAAGTGAGGGGTTGCGGAGTTTGTTTCTCTGACTTGAAGATCATCACTTCTGATATGCCTCCTTGTAAGAAAGAGAGCCAGGTTATTTGTCACAAGCATGAAATGTTTTATGTTATACACGTTCTCCTGTATTATCCTGCAAAGCACATTCATTGTGCTGTCCTGTAGAATCAGCATTTACCTCGACAAACAAATCAAAACTCAGAGCTTTAAAAATGGTGTCTAGGACATGAGAAGGGGCAGCTCGATTTCTTGAATGATCTGCTCTGCGATCTCAGCGGTGACTCCAGGAGTGACTCCAGGCTCGCTTCTCTTAGCGGTGACTCCAGGCTCTCTTCTCGTCGCACCTGGGGGAGTGCAGCCAGAGGTGAGCAGACATGAGCTGTGGGACCTGGCTGTGAGGCACAGGATTCAAGGGTCTGTTGTCCTGGAGCCACAGGGCAGCTTTCAGGGTAGTCCTATATCATCTGCATGTGCCCAGGGCCGCCTGTTTTCCTGCCTGGTTCACCAGCAGGTGCTCCTTGACTCAGCTGTTACGATCCGAGCAAGCTGCATGTTCTTGTAGGCGTTGTGCAAATCCCCTCCTGGGAACAGAATGGATCTTTGTCATGATTATTAAAGAATTCAAGGATGCATGAAAGGAAGACTGTGAAAGAATGTGGTACGGTATAATGATTGTAAAAAGATTTATTTCCCTCCTTTTAGCTAGTTCCAGCACAAAACCCTATGTGAAATGCTCTACTTGAACCTCAAATAGTTCCTGGTCATCTGAGCTCCCATGTCTGAGGATATGCTGCAAAAAGTGTTTTTTGTAGTTTTTTTGCTTGTATGGTTGTCTTCTTGCACATGTTGTGAATTCTGACCTCCTATAGCAACACTTAATAAAAACACGGTTCTGCGTTTAATTAAAGAAGATGCAGAAGTGTGGGTTTTCTGTTTACAGAACTGTTGCTTACAATGCAAAACCCAGCCTTATCAACATTATCCTAAATTAAGACAGCAGTTTTGAATTCTTATTCATTGCAGATACATTTAAAAGGCAGATAATGCTGGTTATGATTGATATTTTTGGTATTGAAACTGTAAGGAAAACCTGGTCCTGTGAGGATTTGTTTGCTGTGGAGAGGGAAACATACCTGTGACAGTGGCAAGTACAATTATCTCGAAAGTGGTGTTGGTTTGGCCTGTGTATGGCCACATCTGCACACTAAAACATTGTGCAAGGGTATGTGGAAGGGCAGTGGGATTCTTCTTGACTTTATTTGGGTCATTTTTTGTAAAAGAGGCAAGTTCAGTGACTAGCCATGAGTCCCAGTCAGTGATGCATGCCTTGAATGGCTTTAAAAATGAATCCTTTATACCTTCATGTTGAACGTGTCTCACCAGCTCTGTTCTTTGAAAGCAAAGGTAAGGCTGCAGTCCCCTAAAAAAAAAAAAAAAAACTGTAGCAAAGTTAAACAAGGAATTGAATGAATAAGGAAATGAATGAACAAAGGCTTTGAATGCTGAAGAGAGATGTTTGGATGGATTTTCTTGAGGAAGTTGTGCGC